CTGGAATTGCTTTTGGATATATATACCCTAAGGAACTACAAGTAAGGGCTCAAATATGTACACCCCCGTCCACAGCAGCATTTGTGACAGCCAAAATGTAGAAGCGACCAAATGTCCATTGATGAATAAGATGGATAAACAAAATGTGGTATAAACAATGTAATTACTCAGCCTTGACAAGGAAGGGAATAGTAGCCCAGGCTCCTACTAGGGATGAAACTTTAAGACAGTGTGCTACCTGAAAGAAGCCACAGGCACAGAGGCCAGATGCTGGATGTCTCCACTTGTGTGAAGTACCTACCATAGTCAAATACCCGGGGCAGAAAGTCGAATGCTGGTTGCCAGGGGCTGGGAAAGGTAGCAGGAAAAATAAACAGCATATAATGGACACAGAGTTACCTTGAGAAAGTTCTGCAGTTGAACAGTGGCAATGGGACTCTGTTATGTACTTAAAGCTACTGAACTGTACACCTAAAAATGATTAAAATAAAGTAATTTTATGTTATGTATATTTATATTTAACCACATTTTTTTAAAGGAGTGAGCTGCTGGTGGTTGGAAGCGTTCGAGTAGAGACTGGATATCCACGTCAGAGATACTAAGGCAAAGTCTATTCCAGAAAGGGACTGGATTAAATGACTCCCTGAGATCCCTTCAACTCTAGAACTGTATGTATGACAGGACAAGCACTTCATCAATTACAGAAGTAAAAATTGTTTTATTTTTCCGTAAAAATGCAGACTACCTTTTATCCTGGAGCGTCCCAGCCTAGACCCTGAGCTGGCTTGGTCCTGGAGTTGATTTACAGTCAGATTCTCTCATTGTTTGTAAGACACATTACCAGAAAACCATTTCCAGTTCTGTTTTAATGAGGACCAATTTGTTATTTCGTTTGGAAAACCCCTGACTTCCATTATTATAGAAAAGATACAAGAAAAGAAAATGTAGGTCTTGCAGTTCAAGAATTAATGAAGGCCCTGAAACAATTAAGCCTTAAATACACAGAGGACCCCTTAATGTAAACAGACTGTATTTCACAGCAAATCTTCTTAGAACAAAGGATCCATTTCAGCATGACATTATGGGCAATGTGGCCGGGCTTCAGTCTGTACTCAATTTGAAATTTTCCTTCCGTTGAAGTTGACTAATGTACAAATAGCCTGGCTTAAAGGATCTGGGAAACACTAGGTCACAGTGTGAGACATATGCTAATATAGCACAATTTATATAAAAATAGAGGAATGTAAATAGCTAACTGAAGCCAGAGGTAGCTGATCCAGCCAAGTGGGGAGTGAGGAACATTGAAAATGCTGAGAACGTTGTTCTCCTTAAACTTCTGAGAACACTTCCCTCAGGTTTTCTTCTATGAGATGATAAATGAAAATTGATTTTCTGCTGCTCTCTGAAAGCACGTGTCTTCACATTACTGATCAGAATGATATACTTAAATAATCTAAATTAAAAGCCAGT